ATCTCGCTTTCATTCTCTGGAACGCCGATTATTAAAGAATGAAAATTTGTATTTAGAATATTCTGCTTTTTTAAAGGAATTTCTTGACCTTGGCCATATGGAATTAATTTCTGGTCAATCGCTTTCCTCAACCAATGCTTATTATATTCCGCACCACTGTGTGGTAAAGCCGCATAGTATTTCAACCAAATTAAGGGTTGTGTTTAACGCTTCTGCTCATTTACCTAATCAGAAATCTCTTAATGATTGTCTATTTGTTGGACCCAAGTTACAACAGGACATATGTGCTATTTTGTTATATTTTCGCCTTAATGCTTTTGCTGTGTGTGCTGATATTAAACAAATGTACCGAATGATTTTAGTCAATTCGCAAGATTGCAATTATCAACGTATTCTTTGGAGATTTTCTCCAACCCAACCAGTTCGGGATTATCGATTAACTCGAGTTACATATGGAATTAGTAGTGCACCATTTTTAGCGTTAAGAATCCTCAAACAATTAGTGAAAGACCAAGGACACAGATTTCCTCTAGCCGCACATGCAATCGAAAATTACTGCTATATTGATGATTTTGTTTTCTCGTGCTCTAGTTTAAAACTAGCCAAACAGCTGGTTTCTGAGTTGGTTTCTCTTATGAAATTAGGAGGCTTTCAACTACATAAATGGTCAAGTAATAACCTTGATTTGTTAAAAATTCTTCCCGCTTCTGATTTAGCTAAACAACCGCTCGATTTTAATTCGCTTTCTGATGAAAGTTCTATAAAAGTTTTAGGTCTTCAGTGGGATCCTTGTGATGATGCATTCTTCTTTCTTGTTAATCCTGTCCAAAATAAACCTTGTACAAAACGCACACTTCTCTCTGAACTTGCTAGAATTTATGACCCGTTAGGCTTTATTTCACCTATCACATTTTATTGCAAGCATTTAATTCAGAAATTATGGCGTTCTGGGTTAGATTGGGATGTAGTTCCAGATGAGTCTATTACTCAACTTTGGGAACAATACCAGTCAGAATTACCTTTGCTTGCCGATTTAAAAATTCCTCGTCAATATTCTACGTTAATTTCATATTCTAATTATTGTCAATTCGAACTTCATGGGTTTTGTGATTCTAGCGAACGAGGCTATAGTTGTGTAATATATTTTCGTATTAAAGACGAAACAGATGCCGTTCAAGTATCATTTATTTGTTCCAAATCTAAAGTCGCACCTACCAAGAAACTTACTATCCCTCGCTTAGAGCTTTGTGGAGCCGTTCTGCTGACTAAATTAATTCTTTATGTTAAAACGAATTTTTGTAACCAAATTAGCTTTATAAAAATTCGCGCGTGGTGCGATTCTCAAATCGTACTGCATTGGATAAAGGGATGTCCCAATCGCTGGAAAACTTATGTCGCCCACAGGGTATCTTTCATTCAAGAAAATCTCTCTCCTGATAATTGGTCGTATGTGAATACTGCTATTAACCCCGCAGATATAGCCTCGCGAGGGGCTCTTCCTTCCCACTTCTTAACCTATAAATATTGGTTAACCGGTCCTGAATTTCTTTACGAAGATGAAAGTTCTTGGCCTACCTTCCCATCTTCTGCTAATGAGGTTACGCTTCCCAAAGAAGAACAACGTAAAATGATATTATTTTCAACATTACTCAATCATAACAATGAGAGTTTTGTAATTTCTATGCTTGAAAATTATTCTTCTTTGACTACTATTCAAAATATTTTAAGTTTCATCTTGCGCTTTATCTACAATTGTCAACACCCGCTTTCTAAACATTGTGGCATATTTTCCACCGACGAATTGTATTCGGCCCTTCTTGTTTTGGTAAAAACTACTCAATATACTCACTTTCAGGAAGAAATTGAGTCCAAACGTTTTTCTAAACCTCTACGTAAGTTGAATGTTTTTTAGATGATAACAATATTCTTAGAGTGGGAGGTCGACTGCATAATGCATCTATATCTTATTCATCTAAGCACCCCATATTATTACCTAGACAAAGTCTATTAACTACACTCGTCATTCGCCACATTCATGAAAAGTATTTTCATGCTAGCTTTAGAAGTACTCACTTCTTACTAGCTCAACAGTTTTGGGTTCTATCCTCAAAACGAGCCATTAACTCAGTGATTTCGAAATGTTTACGCTGTTGGAAAACATCTCCTACCTCTTATCAACCCCCAATGGGAAATTTGCCGCTGTCTCGAGTGTCTGAGGTAAAACCTTTCGGTCGCTCCGCTGTTGATTTCGCAGGCCCATTTAATATAACTATTAGTCGTCACAGAGGAGTAAAAAGTTGCAAAGCTTACCTCTGCATTTTTGTCTGCTTGGCTACCAAAGCTGTACATTTGGAACTTGCCAGTGATTTATCTACACCAACATTTTTAGCCGCTCTACAAAGATTTATTGCAAGGCGTGGAAAAGTCTCACAGATATACAGTGATTGTGGCACAAATTTTATGGGTGCAAAACGCGAATTGCTTTCTCTTATGGAACAGGCCAGCGCAAGTGAAACTATTCAATGGTTTCCTAGCCCCGCCGGAGCTCCTCACTTTAATGGTCTAGCCGAAGCTGGCGTTAAAAGTGTTAAAACTCACCTTCGCCGCGTCGTAGGTGATCAAATTCTCACATTTGAGGAATTCTATACAGTTCTGACACTTATAGAATCCATATTAAATTCTAGACCACTAGTTGCCATATCTAATGATGTCGACGATATCAACGCCTTAACGCCCGGTCATTTCTTGACCATGGAACCTTTAACCGCATTTCCCGTTCCCAGTTTCGAACACGTCCCCCTAAATCGCCTTTCTAGGTGGCAATTGTTACAGCGCATCCATCAAGATATTTGGCGTCGCTGGCATAAAGAATATTTGCATACCCTACAGCAGCGAGCCAAATGGTTAGACCCTGCTAACACCCCCAAACTTGGTACTTTAGTTTTGGTTAAAACCGATAATTTACCTCCTAATAAATGGTTGTTAGGCCGTGTTACTCAACTGCATTTTGGTAATGATAACATAGCCAGAGTAGCTACGGTAAAAACACAAAATTTTATTTTAAAACGGCCATTGGTAAAACTGTGTCCACTACCTAATAATTAATTTTTTTTTTATATGCTACCTGTAGTATTTTATAATTGTTTTTTTGGTTTAATTCTATTATTTGAACTTTCCTTTTTTTTGCTTTAATATTTAGTTTTTATTTTGGGGAATTGTCTAATCAGTTTAAAAATGTATTATTTACATTTTTTCGGGGCAGGAAATGTTCCAGAATGAATTAATTCCTATTTTATTATTTAAATATTCGCGCTTTGTCTCAAATCGCTTACTTAAAACTTTGGCCCACACATGCGCTTCGTCTGACTGTAAGACAAGTGAAACGCCGTTGGACGAAGAGTACTACAGAAATTGCCGCGACGAACGCTTTGTGGTGTGTATGTGCCGTTAAATCCGCTATTATAAATCCTGTATAATAAACGTTGTTATATAAATTGTGTAACCGGGCCCGGTCTTGGCTACTGGACTAATACTACCACCTACTTCATCCGACGAACCATATGATGCAGCACAGAAGGTAAGCGCGTTTGAGACACGTTTATCTTATTTTTTTTCGACTGTTACAATCAGCCCCTTTTTTACGTAATATTCCAATCATTCTATTACAGGATGCATCTGAGATGTAAAAAATCTTTGATCACGTGATTCAGTATACGTAAATGTAATGGGACAGATGTGTCCGATGTGGATAAAAAAACGCTCGAGATGTAAAAAATGCATCCGATGTGGATTCTCAAACGCAGCAAATAGAGGACTTCTATACAAGGCAGTGTTGCCAATACCCAAACTTGAAATTATACGGTGGCTAGGTACAAAAGATACGCTTTTTATACGCCTTTGTAGATTTACCTTTGGAGCCACATCTTTGCATTTGAGGATATCAAATTTGTGTTGCTGCCAGGTTTTTGAGATTGGACACTGCCGACAGAATAAATGTAGCAATGCAGATTCGTTCAGACAGGCTGCCAAAAGTTTCCAAGTGCATTTTAACAATACGAACAATATAAGTTCGGTGAATCCCCGGCTCCGGGCCTGTTTTAATTAGTCAATAACATGGCGTTCTCTAAAATAAGCAGTCAGCTACCAGTCAGTCACTGTTTAATAAAAGTAGAGCAGAAGAGAGTGAAGAGACACACTGAAAGGAGGAAATCTAGAAAGATCCATAGTTTTTCCCAGAATGTACGAAAATTATACGGAATTTCAAAGAGTTAGAAAAAGATACGCTGGCAAGTCAGAATATACGAAAATCGTATAATTATACGCAAATTGGCAACAGTGATACAAGGGAAGTGCAACCATCTTGACAAAATAAAATTGACACTAATGACATAAGAAATCGGGTCACATAAAGAGGCTGTTTTTTAGTTTTTCCTATCTACTTTCATGCCATTTGCATACCTTGTTGTACCCGTAACGTGAAAAAGACTTTTTATTTTAGGGTATTTTACATTTAAAGGTTGAAAACATTTGTCAACATCAGCTGTCGATAATGTCAAAACATAAGCGTAGCATTGCATTTTATTTTTTGTTGTTATTAGTCTAATTGCGTTTCTCCTGCTTTCTTGAAACATTATTTTTCATTTGGTTTTATTTATTTATGTCGATTGCAAAATGCTGCTGCTACGAATACAAGTTCTATAAAATATACAACCAACATACAATACTAGTTACGTTATGCCCATCTATGGTTACGCCTGTGTTCTATCATCAACATAATTGACAGCTGACAATGACAAAATATTTCAACCTTTAAATGTAAAATACCCTAAACTAAAAAGTCTTTTTCACGTTACAGGTACAACAAGGTATGCAAATGGCATGAAAATAGATAGGAAAAACCAAAAATCAAACTAAAAAACAGTCTCTTTATGTGACCCGATTTCTTATGTCATTAGTGTCAATTTTATTTTGTCAAGTTGGTTGCCCTTCCCTTGTATAGAAGCCCTCTATTAGAAAAATCTTGAAATATAAATTAATATAACGACATATAAATGAAATCTTTATAATAAACAAAACAATTTACAATATTACCTATAAACAAAAATCATGGCAGTTAACGTTTATACATATAATTACACATTTTCAAATTTGATTATCAGATTTTCTGCTATGAAAAACTATTTATGTGCCCACTTCGGTCGTGGAGGGGGTGGAGGTGCCTCTGAACTATTTCCATATCTCCTAAACAATTCTGTGATATAATTACCTCTATATATACCTGGTGGCCTAAAAGCAAACAATAATATAATAAATGGAATCAATTATACTCGATAAGTGACTTAACACTTGTTTCAAGAATAATTTATAAAAAACAATATGAAAATAAATGTTATAAACGAACAAATACATACTATATTATAATAATTAAAATGAAGTGATATTTTTTTTATAATAATGAACATACTAAACATAAAAATACATTATAATCAAATATTTCCAGTCGGGTTTTTGTATATATGTATTTTTTTATTTTTTACAATATAATTTATAATTATTTTTTCTTTAAACAGCATCTTGTTTAAAATAAATTTCTAAACAGAAGAGCTTGATCAAATAAAATGTCTATATCCTTTGTGATATTATTTAAAAATAGGTTAATATAAATTAAGACAGTTTTGATAATTCCCATTCTTCACATCTATCATCTCTCATTTCAAATCCAGAAGTAAAAAATGTTCTCTAAATAACAACATCAAGCTCCAACAAATGCAGATACAGAAGTATCTGGGCTGTAATGACAAATGGTTGACATATAAAAGATACATCTGAGAGGTAATAGCAAAAGCAATAATGGGAAAATATACTTTGTAAAAATGTTTGTTGTTTTACTTTAATAAAGATGTAGTGAAGACATGTTTTACATTCTCCCTGGATCCTCATTGGACTATTTAAAACCAATTTGCATCCAAATTGATTCATTAGGCTAAGACATTCATGTACCTGTTGAGTTTGTGATAAAACATTTATATTTAGGTATATCACCTAGAAATAAATGTCAATATTAATTCTTACTAGTCACCTGTAGAAAATGTTCTAAGGATTCTATAAAAATATTAATGGTTAATGTAGGTAATTTTCATGTTTGTTTAATTTTATGAGTAACTGAATGACATTACTGTGTCCAAGCAGTATATGTATGTTCTAATATTGATTTTATAAAGATTCAAATTACCACTATTGTAAATAATAGAATATCCTTGAATATTAAATATATCCAAATTATATATTATTCTTGTTTCAGTAAATACCTACTACACAATCAACATCTTATCAAAATTATTCAAAAAAAAACCCTGTATTCATCTAGATTCTTTTAAAGGCTATCAAAGTTATTGTGAATATTTACAATACAGCATATATCATTCTCTGCAGTCTTCCAAGGTAAAATCTTACACTTTTAATGATAAAACAATATGAAATCAAATTAAAATTGGGTGTATTTATTTTTGTTTGAACTGAGCCTTGTTCTCAGTTTAAAATTTTTCTATTACAAAAAAAAATGTATTAATTATTTAAATGAGCTTACCTTGAAGTAGCAAAGGCTTCAACAGCATGCCTCACATCAAAGTTACACTTTTCAACAAGAAATGCAACAATTAAGAAACCTGTTCTGTTAAATCCATGTGTACAATGGACAGCTATACATTCTTGTGGTCTTTCTAAGATAAAATTATGCACTAGAGATATAAATCTTCTCGTATCGCTGATGGACGGACATGTTCCATGGCCTGAACAGCTTAATTTTACATATTCACATCCTTGTTGTTTAATTTCAGATTTATCGTAGTATCTATCTGTGTTTGTCAAGTCTATCCATAGACCTATTTTTACCTTTAAGCATACTTTTTAACAAATAAATCAACATTTTTTATTTCGTAACTTACCTTATTGCGTTCAGCTCTTGTAAAAATTTCAACAGGCGGATATTCTTCACTATGGTGCATTTTATTTCTATAGCAATTAGATAAAGGAGTTTTTAGTGCCATAAATTTACCTAAAATCAGTGAATTTCCATTTTCAGGACACCCTTTCCAACCTTTTGGTATTGTGTTATTAACCATTTTGAATAAAGTAATGTATATTATTATCCCAACACAAACATATGGTCAATCAATGAGTCAGATGGTTTTGTGTGATTTATTTTAGTTTTTCTATGGATTTACTACTTTCACATTTTAACCAAATAACCATAATATGATGATTACAGATACACAAATCTAAAAAGAGAACTGATTGCGCATATCGATGAAATTGTGATTGTGAACTCATTAATTGTGAAGTAAAAACAATAATACTTCTAATAAAAATAATTTGTAAATTTTAGGTTAGCTCTGTCAAAATTCTGTCCGTGAGTTATAATATATGGCAACACTGTAGCCTGTTAGCTTTGATATGGTCAGTGATATACATAGATAGTTATATAGATTGCTCAAAGTGGGTTGCTTGACCTTGCAAGTGGACATTAATCAGAATCGGTTTAGCAAAAATGTGTTTTGAAACCAATTGTCAGCCTTTGAATATAATAAAAAATAGTAATTTGTGCAACAAGAGTGGATATGAAGGCAATATTACACGAAGTCGAAGTTTGAGCACGACGCAAAAGGCGGAGTGCTCAATCGTGTGATAAGGGCAATCCACTCGAGTTGTACAGTATACTTTTTCTACAATCCACTAACGAAAATCTAAAATTTTTTTAAATTATTTTAGGTTATTTGATAAAATACCTAATTTTAAAATAATTTATGACATTTCCTAATTTATCTAATAAAATAAACTTAAAAGAATTGAACCCGGGACCTCTGCATGAAAACTAAGTGCCCTAGTATCTGCTCGATCGCCATACATAACATTTTAGTATTAATACTCGTAAATAAATTGATTTCATATAGTTTTAATAAAATTTATGGTTTATTTGTAAATATAGACGAAATAAAAATATAAATGACATTATTTATCGATTCTACACAAGAATAACTCTTTAATGTGTATTCTAGTACCGTTCGGATTAGCCCAAGAGCTGGATCGGGACAGGAACGAAATTTTTTAGTGTGCTTTTAAATGATATTTATCTTGTTGAACTGTCACTTTTGGACTAAACTGAACGTTAAAGAGTAGTTTGAAGTTAAAAGAGTTAAAGGAGAGAATGGACTTTGTCCGAAATAACCTTTAATCGGGGATTCTCATAGCAGCAAAAGAAATAACCAGAAACAATATTACTGGGAGGAACATGCTCATCTATACAGATAGCAGACAAGTACTACTCGCCCTGAACAGACCACGAATTTATTTAGGGTTAGTACTATAGAATGTCACGAAGCTTTGGCCGAAGTATCCATCAACAATGTGGTCACCTTAAGATGGATCAAAGGTCACGCCACATCGAAAGGTAACCGTCTTGCCAATTCACTAGCCAAGAAAGCAGCCAACCAAGTACTTTTTGGACCTGGCCCTTCTATTGGCCTGACAAAATCGGTAGTAACAGACTTAATTAAAGAATATTCCCTTGTGAAATTCAAGGAAAGATGGGATGAAACAAGAAACTGCAGAGTTTCCAGGGAGCTCTTAATTTATCCTGACAACACTGCATCAAACAAATACATACTTGACTATGACTAGACAGAATCTGCGCCTGGTCACAGGCATTCTGACTGGTCATTGCAAAGTACGGAAGCATCTCCATTTCATGGGGCTGTAAGAATCCGCACTCTGCAGAGGGTGCGAACAAGAAGATGAGACCATCGAGCATAATCCTTTACGATTGGTCGACGCTCTCATTTATTAGAAGATTTGTTATCGGCGAGTATCGGCTAACTTTGGCCAATATAAGAGAAGCACCTCTTGGCGACGTTGTCAACTACATTAAATCTGTAGGCTGGCTTACGAGCTAGGAGGGGCCTATCATCTTAGGAGGATGCACAATGGGCTTAATGAGGTCTAAGTGCCGTGGGAGTAACCCACCCTCCATACTTTACAGATACAGATTCCTTTAATCTTAATAACTAAAAAATATACTGACAATTAAGTTTGACAGAATTTTCTTTTATTTGAAATTTAAAGAAATAATGTAGCCGGATGATCAAAATATGAAGTGTGATTGGTGGATATATTTTTTTGCAGTGTTCTTACTATATAATGGATGTGAAATGTATTAGTTCCGTTGAACGCAATGGCATACTTTTTCGTTTTATAGTCTGCGTAGAATAGCTAATATATGTATATCCATGTGGGTATAGAAAAAAATAATTTTCTATATTTTTACTTCAAAAGGTTTGAAAAACATGGATGATCAGTCTATATAACTATCTTTATCATTGACTGTTAAAGAAAGGTCAAATCAGCAAGCAGGGTTGCCATATCATAACCTGTCATTACCCTCGGGTATAATAACCTTTTGTTTAGAACGTCTCAAAACCAATGAACTGGAGTGGGGTAGAAAGCCAATGTGCATATTGTATCAATAGAACAAGATGCGACTCTATGGGCGCTACCATTTTTATTTCTCATCTCACTCGGGAGTATTTATAATAACCATTTTCTGTTTCACATTGTTATTGTTCAATCCACAAGCTGGTGGATCAGACAATAACAAAGTGAAATAGAAAATTGTTGTAATAAATACTCCCGAGTGAGATGAAAAATAACCTGTCTTTGCCCATAGAGTCGCATCTCAAGCCTATTGACAAGCATTCTACCCCACTCCAGTTCATTGCTCAAAACACCCTGAGACCTTTTTTTTGATAGGAGAAAAAGAAGTCACCTTGTGAAAGTGCCATCTATCAATTATATGTGTAATTAAAATCGATTTTTTAAATACATCGATATTACACTTGTTTTTTTTTGTCTTTGAACAGAATAAAAGGTTCATGATTTTTTATTTTGTCAAAATTGACATTAGACTTTTTTAATCATTCATCTTTCAAGAATATTCTAAAAAATCTTGCCTTTTATTAGCGAAATCGTATAGTCCGAATTTAAATATAACTTAAATAACATTTAAGAAATAATGTAAGTAAATATTTAAAATTAAAATTCTTATGTATCACCAAATGTATCACATAAATTAATTTTAGTGTGATCCTGTGGAAGGGGTTGTTACAGGTAGTTGGCCTTCCTACTTTGCTGCAAATCTGCCCCGGTTTCCCAGTCTGCCCAGTCGCCAAGCCACAGTCGTTGATTGAACTTGTGTTTCTATCTTTTTTACTACATTCAGTGTTCTCTCTCTAGCAACATGGCAGACATCTCAAAGGAAGATCTTCGTAAAGAAATTGCCGGTAAGTGTTATTTTTTCGTTATATTTAATACTATAATAAGCGAAATTTACAAAACTAAGTTTGTAATTTTTTTCTGAACGATTTTTGTTAATGGATTTTTATGGGTTAACAGTCAAAAACAGGCAGTTTACTCTTGTACAATATTCACTTATACGTAGGAATAAACAATGGCTGAACGACGCTCTATTAGTAGACGTACGTATACATGATATTAAAATTGGATTTTTCTCTGAAACTACGTATCTTACGAAAAAATGGTGTGAACAAAATCGAAGTAAGAAATTATTTCTGATTTTCGTAGGAGTTTTACTCCCCAAAATTTTGGCTATTTAAAGAAATTTTCTGTAAAGTTAGTTCATTATCATGTGTTCTTGACTGTACATGAAACGACTCGGCGTAGGTATGTTGGTGTAAAATATTGTTTCATTCGCTTTATAGAACAGGACATAAAAAACTCTTCTTAAGTTATTTGAAGATAATGAATTAAAGAAGATTTTTTGTAGTCAAAGTATTTCTATTTGTTAATTGTTTACAGAGTTTGAGCAATTCGAAAATTGTGCGTCTTTGTCATTTCTAGTTGTATGGATACCATGTTTGAGCTTCCATTTTTATCAGTAGTAGCTAGCTTGTTGGGGTGTTTCTCATATTTCTAATATTTTTCATTCAGAATCAAATTAATTATGATTAGTAAATAAAATATCACTCAACATAGAGGTATTATAAAAATTACATTAATTAATGCAAAAAAATATAAAGAAATGCTCTTAGTAATACATTTTATTCTATAATTACTTATTTTTAATGGTAGTTTTAATTTTGAGAAAAATTTTCAAATTCTCCACATTATGTTAGGGATATCTCGAAAATGTATATACGCATGCGCAAGTTTACTGCCGCGAAATTCGACCGATATCCCCTCGCACTCTTGTCGCTTGTTCTTGAATCACTTCAATTCGTAATTGGGGGAAACCGGAGCAAAACTTTGTAGTATGTTTTAACTGCCGTTTATTCAGTTGTAACTATAAAAATGTTTGATTCTGGATTTACATAGTCAATTCGAATTATTTTAATAACAATTATAAGTGATTATATTAATCAATAATTATTATAACATGCGTCAGGCATTGATATATGTTCGGTTTATCTTAACAATAAAAAATCTGAAAAATCAGTGAGATTATGTCTGGCATAGCAATATTAATTGTTTGAACGGGACAATCTAGCTAAGAGCCGAACATTAACAAATTCAATATTTTAATAAAGTTTTTTTGCAATTTTAAAATTGTCTGATAGCCACGAGCAGAGGATTTAGGGGCAGTTTTTTACATGTTGTAACATCTTGTTAATTAATAATGCCGAGATAATGGTATGGAAGAAGTTGACAATAGTTTTTCAACTTAAAAAAAATACTTTCAAATGTCTGCCACCAGCTCCCTAGCTATAAGCTTGTATAAATTTAGTGACACAATCACATCCGCCCATTTATCACTATCAGTGACATGAAGATTGCACCTTTTTATATTTTAAAATGGTTTAATTCTCATTATATTCTCAGAATATTTCTGATAGGGTAATTATTGCAAGGATTAGGTGACTGATGTTTATTTAGGCAGGTGATTGTATAAATGGTTACCTGTATTTTATAAATAGGGGAAATACTTGTTTGAACTGGTTGAAAAAAGGTTTTTGCTAAATGTCTTTATTATTTTTAAATTACAAATATACAAATATAATCATAAACCTTATTATAATTTAACCAGTTTACAATAAATAATTTTAAACCGAATTGATGAAACTTTGGCTGTAATTTCCCTTCACTTCTAATAATTTGAATTATATTAAAAAATTATTGTCTTTGTGCAGTTGCTCATAGTATATTTAAAAAAAATAATAATAACTACTGGAATTATTGTTTTTAATCTTGTGGCCAGAGTATAAATATGAGTACATACAAGGTGTTCCTTAATGATATGCAAATATTGAAGAGTGAAAATCTACATGAAAAAAAAAAATTAATATTTTAGTTAATTAATATTATAGTAGATATTTTATTTGAATAAAAAAATGGCACGCCAATGGTTTTCCCAAATAAAAATGATTTTTAAATTTCCCGCTCAGTTTTAAACTTAAAATTTATTGATTTGTTTTATTATATTGCTCAGTTTTTGAGTAAAAGAATAAAAATTGTTGTATTGTCAGAGAAAATTAATGTAATTATTGAAAAATTAAAGAAAAAATTGACATTAGGACCATAGTTTATAAGGCAAATTATCACTAATTTTTCATGTAGTTGTACACACTTCAAATACCTTGTATACAGCAATCACAGAAATGCTTTAAAAAATTGTAGGACACCACATTATTAGTGCTATATTTTTCATATAGGGTGATTATAAACAAAATTTAGTAACTTTGAAAACAAAAAATTATAAAAGGCGACAGTACTGACATGGGCCTAAAATCTAAAGATTTTTTTTCTTTTATTATTGATTTGAAAATATAATTTTATTAAAAATTGGGATTAATTATTATAAATAGGAATACTTACATTCCTATATAAATACCATTTATATAAAGCTTTAGATAAGAAACTTATGTATATAATAAACACGTAGATATGTTATCTGTCAATATGTGAGGTAGTGTTTATTTACATACTAGTGAATGACAATTTTACAGTTTAATTTTAATAATAAATGACCACTATCTATAAATAAATGGTACTGATTTAAAATGTTTATAATAATATGTATGTATGTACAAAGATAGGTACTTGCAATTAGCATGATTATGAATAAACACTGAAGTGTTTGGGGTCGGTCCTTGGTCTTGATCAGGGTAGAGGAAGATTGTCTTTCAGCGCCCTTTGGTCGACACTGTCACATCCCATAAATTTTATTATTAATTGTAGTTACTTTGCACTATTGAGTGATTTTCTAAATTTTTAATAGCTGAACAAATCCTATATTGACTTTACTAAGGCTTCTTCATATCAATTATGCCTCCTACAGGGGCCGATTCACGAGAAGGAAATGGGAAAAATGTTCCCACCATTTTTTTTTTTTTTTTTTTTTTTTCGTATTCTCAGCCAATCTTTTTAGTTAATACCCATATCAGGAGGTTGTATAAAAAATAACTAGTTCACCATCTATATTGGATTTAGAATCACGTCTCTTAGGGAGCGTTCAAGTATTACGTAACGAATTTGGGGGGAGGGGGGTTTTGTAAAATGTTACGATGCGTTACAGGGGCGGGAGGGGGAGTCGAACTTCCCGTTACGTAACACTATTATTTTTTAACCCTTCAGAAAAGTCGCATATTTTAGCGACTTTCGGGTACTTTACGCCACATAATTGTGATTTTTAGGTAAAAATAGTCACTTGGTGGTTACGTTTTACTATGGGGGGGGGAGGGTACAGAAAAACGTTGCGTCGCGTTACATAGGGGGGAGGGGGGGTTAAAAATCTCCAAAAATTGCCTTACGTAATACTTGAACGCTCCCTTAGCTAACCATGAATTGTCATCCAAACTAAATGTTTATGTAAAATTTCAGCTTAATCGGTTGGAATAACTATTTTAAAATTCAGTTAAAAGATTTGACATAAACAAACATTGCAAGTTAAATATATAATTCCGACTGTTGATGACTGTTGCCTAAAATGTGTTCATTTCTATACACATAAGTATACTCATAAGAAAAATAAATAACATGGAAAATTTAATATATTTTTACAGCCATCCTTAAGGATGCCGATCTTTCTTCAACTTCAGCTAAAAAGGTAAGACAAGAATTGGAGGAAAAACTTGATGCAAATCTACAATCTAGGAAGAAGGAAATTGATGACCTAGTCATGGAGTTTGTAAGCTCTAAACAAGACAAAAAGAAGGGAAAAGGAAAGGGTGATTCTGAGGAGGACGAAGAAGAGGAGGAAGAAGACGAGGAGGAAGAAGAGGTATTTTTTTATTATTTATTCATCAATATCATAAATGTATACATTTTTTTTTCTCCTAATTGTTTTAATTATGAAAGAAATGATAATTAAAGAGTTGTAAGAATTAACAATATCACTTTTACAGGAACCTTCTGAAGATGAAAAGAAGAAGAAGCGTGCTTCAACTGGTAAAAAACCGGCAGCTAAAAAAGCCAAGAAAGGATCAGACGACGAATCTGCCAGCGAACAGAGCGATGGTGATTCTGAGGAAGAATATTCTCCAAAGAAATCCAAGCCCATCAAAACACGCAAGCTTCCCCCCAAGAAGAAGAAGGGGTCCGAATCAGATTCCGATGAAGATTGGGGCAAGAAAAAAGGAAAGAAAGTACGTATATAATGTGAACTTGGAAATCCAATATCAATTTTTCTTAAATATGCAATACTTTAATGTCAACTTATAAAGTTGCACCATATAATTCAACAGTCAAGTATTTACATAAATAAATACCTAATTTCACTGAATGTTTCATTAAATCAACTGATAATATTTTATTTTTGTAATTTTTTACAATAGACCCTGATTGTTCTCATTTCTTTAATTTTTTTAGGGCGGTGGTGGCGGCGCTAAAAAAGGAGGTGGCGGTTACACGAAAGTAATGACCCTCTCTCCTGAATTGGCAGCATTGGTAGGACAGGATTCCATGGCACGGCATGAAGTTGTTAAAAAAGTATGGGCTATAATTAAAGAAAAAGATTTATATGACCCCAAGAATAAACAGTATGCCATCTGTGACGATGCATTGATGAAGGTTATTGGAACGAAGCGTTTCCGTACATTCGGCATGATGAAATATCTCAAAACCCATTTTATCAGCTAAGCATTTTTTCGTGTGTGATCGGCTAGCGTACACAGTATATTTTTTTCTCTCACACTCACCTTGAGTGACAAAAAAATAGTAGTTTGATGTTCGTGTTAAATGCGCTAGCTGATAAAATCTTAAATGTTAATAGAAAAGATTTTCAAATATTTTTAATAATAAGTCGATCTAGGACTGACTTTAGTTTTAAGTTTCATTAATCCGCATGTTTCTATTATAAATATGAAGTATCAGAATTTCTGTATCTTGAGTTGTGTAAAGATACGGTCTGACACAGATACTTCATTTTCAATACCAGAAAATAATGTATTCTATAGTGTCTTTTTATTTTTTGTAAACCACCACAGTAAACGTAGCTGTGTCTGACTGTCTTTAATGTTCACCTGTAAATGTTCTGTCAAGAATTGTATGAAGTATGTGCAGATTTTTATTAAAGATACCAAGTACATAATCGAGATTATTTTAATTTGGGCAAAAACTGCAGAGAACGAGCAGAAAATGAATATCGGCGTTGCCAGGTTATACAGCTTGCCAACGTTACAACACGGTCGGGTCGTATAAACCGGCAACTTGAGTGTCGTTTCCTGCTCGCTCTAATGCTATCTCCATAGTTGTGGAATTCTACAACCTTTGGGCAACAGCCCATTAAAGAAACGAGAGTACGACTTCGTAACTCGTGTTTTTTTTATCATTCACTTCCTGAATATTTAAGAATAGAGACATATATAGTCAACCGTTTTTGGAATATTATTTTTCTTTGCAATGTTCTACAATTTATATAATTAAAATATTTAAAAAAAAGCTTAAGTTTTTTTCTACACGAAACCCTCACAATAGTTTTCACATGTACTTGTATTAAGTAAGGTGTATTAAATATATATAGTAAGTTTTCATATATTATAGTTGAGAAAATTGTCATGATTTTAAGCCGTTTGAACAGTGGGACTGATTTCTAAAGGCTAGTTCATGTAGATGGGAATTGCGAAAGCGAAATTCGCAAAAAAATATTTTGTTTTTTATGTCAATGCATGTACCTGTGAATGTTTTGACAGGATTCTGGGATATTTATTATTTTCACTAAAACATATTCGGCAGTTGGTATTATTCCACAACAATACATAACCCTATATAGTAGGAGCGGCTAAATGCTGACCGGTGTGCACAGATTATTTATTTTACTTTTCGTCAGAGGGCGCAGATACTGCTGATAATATTGTCAATTGGTGAACAAATAAGTTTGAATTTGAATTGTGTTGTTAATGTTGAAGTGCCATTTCTTATCTGCATTATCAGTTATTACCTGCACCTGTTTAGATTATATAAGACGAAATACAATACGCAAACATATTCCTTTCATTTTGCTACATATGCCAGATAACAATTCTGAAGGAGCTGATGGTAAATATAAACAAAATAAATGTGATGAAGACAAGGCTGAAGTAAATACACATTTAGAGTATTTGGGATAAAATATTTCAGCAGAGGCAACAAGTTTAGGCACATTAAAAAATAAAATAAAAAATTAAATTAATGATATACAGGGCAAATTAGAAAATTCCTCTGATGAAAATGTTCTCAGGCAAGTTTCTCAATATTTGAAGAATGCTAATTTGCTCTTAAACTATGACAACAGCATTAGCAGAGTCGATATTCCTTGTGTAACCTCTGCAGAAATTAATGAGCCACCAAATGAAACAATTAAAAAACAGCTGGTCTTCACCTCAACAAAAAACGAAATTATTAGAAGTACTCTTAGCAGTTCTTTAGTTATTAGTAAAAGTAGTGACAATGATCATAATTATTTTTAATTTCTAATTTAAGGTTTTTGATTTTTTTTTAATATTAGTTGATATAGATTATGTTCCTTTTCCTAGTTAAATACTTTTTTAACTTAATCTGTAATGTATTTTATTTAAGGTAAGAGAGGTAGAATTGGTACTATTATGACCTATCACTTTTTATTTTCCTAATTATTATTATTTTTTATGTTCCGACATCAATAGAGGTATTGAATGTTTCAATAAATATATATTCACATTGATAGCAACGAAAAAATCTTTAATACATTCAAATATAAACTTTATGCATATCTTTCGTCTAAGACATATTAATACTATGTAGAATTTGTGAGTGATACTCGGTGATCCGTAATGGTACCACTTTATTATTCTAATGTATGCTATACTATTTGAAACTTTAATTTGTATTTAATTTTTACCTCATTTGTAACATTTTTAATATTGTGTTATATAGGTTATTTAGGTCTTATAATATGTTTGTACATTTTTAAATTTTTTTTATTCGAATGTGTCAAAGAACGTCGTTATTCGGACAGAAAACAGTCGAAAAGTAGAACTTTTGTATATACTTCATAAAGTACTTTATCGGCCATGCCTTCTCCTGCCGCTACAAGAGTATTATTCATTGCACAAAAGGAGCAATTAGGCTTATTTTTATTCTAGACTCGAGACATACATGTAGAAATCATTTTATTAATCACCATATACTCACCCTACCGTCAATATATATTTATTAGACAATTCTATACACAATAAAGAATGAAACTCAATTTTTTAGAGGCAATGATTGTCACAACTATTATTTCTATATTTTAATAAATTGACTATAATGATTTAGTGTTTTAATATACCATCAAAACCCAATATTATTATTTAAATTACTAACAAATTTGTAGTGATTTTATTTTTTAAAATAAATGAGTGAATTACTGATACATTTTATATTGGTTATTTTATTTATATCTACCAATAAATTCCTAATTAATGGGTTATTTATTAACTCACGTCTAACCCAGAATTAGTAACAATAAAATATAATTTAAAATACAATTTTTGACGCACTGTATGGTGTGCAAGTCAAAATTATCAATTTAAAAAACCGCGCTCAAATACACGCCATCTAGCGGAAAACACAAAAAATAATATGTGCACGCTGGTCAGCATTTAGCCGCTCCTTATATAGTTCAGTGACATAACCCCGATTCGTGTCTGCTACCGATAAATAGTTTTATAAAATGAATGACGAATACGATAATGAATTAGCTTTATTTATTGTTAAAAAATACATATTAGAATTAATAGTACGCAGTTTACGTCTGTGAAATATTTAAACAGGAAACAAAGAGCAAAATATCACAATTTAGCATATATTCGGCTAAATCACACCAAAAAAAAAAAACAATATGAACATACTAGCAAATACCGCAAATATAATACAAATATAAACCTATATCATAATCCACAACAAACGAACAAACTCTAGTAGGCGCTACTACGCTTGCGCTCACATAAAATTTGTGCGATATTCGCAAAATATTAAAACGATTTCAAGATTAAGATTTTGAATATTGCGAATTCGCAAGAAATTCCACTTTCGAGCTGTCAAAATTTCCATCTTGTCATTTGCCGCGTTTGAGAATCCACATCGGGGGGGCTATTTTCAAAGTATGGGAGCACTCATTTCTCTCAAGATTCTCATCAGAAATGTCATACGTCAATGTGGAAACGCTGTTTTTAAATGCCTCGAGGATTAAAATTCTTAGGAGGATATTAATTATCTCTAAATAAACCGTGAGAAACAATCAGTGAGTTCACACTGGCCCTTAGGACCCTAAAAATTATTGTTTTACGTTGACGTATGACATTTCTCTCGAGAGAAATGAATTCTCTCGACTTTGAAAATAGCCCCCCTGATGCATCTGAGATGTTGTGAATTTTTTATCACGTGATAGAGAATTAGATCTGAATGTAGATGTAATAAACAAACGCTCTAGACTTTATTTGGTCATGTGATAAAATGTCAATGACAAGTTAGAGGTATATACCACTGATCTGTATTATTTTAAAATAATACAGATCAGTGGTATATACTTATTAAATTTGACTTTTGAGACTACAAATCAATCTAAATTTGAAATATAAACAAAAGTTAAACAAACTAATCACTTTTTAATCGACTTCAAAAAGGAGGAGGTTATCAATTCGTCGCAATATATATTTTTTTTTTTTAATGTATGTTCAGCGATTATTCTTTAACACGGTGTCCGATTTCAATGATTCTTTTTTTGTTAGAAAGGGGGTACTTCAGGGGTGGTCCCATATAAATTTAGTCAAAATATAATAATTGGGTCCATGAGAAAATCCTCAAACTCTTCATTTTTTATGTATGTTTAGCGATAATACTTTACCACCTTATCCGATTTATATGATTCTTTTTTTGTTAGTAAAGGAGTACCTCAGGGGTGGTCCCATATAAATTTGGTTAAGATGTGGTGATGGCATCTGCACGTTTTTGAAGTTGGTTTTTTTAAATTTTTAATTTCTAATACTTGTATATTCATGCTAGCATAAACAAAGGATAAATTGACAAACAAGGCTTCACAGAACACTTACTTTCTGGCATGGAACGAACATCTCATTCACATCTCATTTCAAATCGAGATGTAAAATATGTAATCTGAACAGGTACATCTGGGATAAACAAACGCAGATGTAGATGTGTCCGATGTGGATAAAAAAACGCTCGAGATGTAAAAAATGCATCCGATGTGGATTCTCAAACGCGGCATATATTGTGATATTGACCAATGGCAGCGACCTTTGCGATTCGCAATTCGCGATTCGCAACTACATGAACTAGCCTTAAGTCTGCTTTGCAACAGCTCAAACAGCTGCTTTTTGTAGAACAGAAGTAAAAGTTGGAAATGCTTTTGCCAGTTCTCCCACTTTGTACACATAAATTGACAGGTTGGCAGCGGATCTCACCGAAGTGGACGCGATACATTGGCGTACAAAATTATTTTATAGATGTTAATAACAATTTCGAGTAAATAGTTTAATAAATTGTGAATAGCTGTTGAAATTTTGTAAAATTATGATTTGAATATTATAATACATGTTTAATAATTATTTATAATCCATAAATACATGCGATTGTCCGGTTCCGCCGATAACAATTTAAAATTACTTATTCTATGAAACGACACTGGCAGGTAAACATTACTGCGAAATTCTCGGAGCCGCCCGACGTAGTTTGACGTTTACCCCCTCTCTACCTACCAAAAGACTTTTCAACTTTTACTTTCTCTATAGAACAAACATTCGTTATAAATTAATAAAAGATGTCTTTACCATATGTTAGGTTAGAGTGTAATAATCCAAAATAAGTTAACAGGGCTGTTTCGATGTTGGAGGAGTATGATACCGTTTTTGAGAGTTTATTGCAGAGTGCATCAATCTGTTGGTTCCAGATTAGACGAGAATCTACCCCTAAGAATTTGATGCAGTTTTTATCAGAGTTGGATGAAGATTGGAAGGTGCTAACTTCGGTTTTGTAAGAGTTCATGAACAATTCGTTGTGGACAAACCATTACTGCTTCACTGAGTTTGGTGTGAGATTTATCATAGTACGAGAAGTTAAGTGTCATCTACGTACATTGTTGTCAATAGATTCTGAAAGTGTGATTTCATGTAGACTGAAAGATCATTTGTGTAGATAATGAAGAGAAGAGGTCGAAGTATAGATCCCTGAGGGACACCTCTCTTTATCATTAACAGACCACTATATTGATTGCTGTATACACTCTGTTGTCTGCCCCTGAGATACGAAGCAATCAAGTAATTTGCAATTCCTCTTATGCAAATGAGAGAAATGGGTACTCACACAGTTTGAAAATAGGTCCCCTGTGATCGTAGATAAATTTTGACAATACACGACAATAGTCAAATTTTATTGAAAAATAATAATATAAACAATAAATAATTCTTATGAATGAGCAATCTATATGACTATATAGCATTGGATTTTGTCCCCTGGCTACACGGGCGCCATCTTAATTGCATACATTTTGGTGGCCACTTTTTAATATAAAGATCCATATAAGATTATCCTCCTTTTTTCTACCCTCCATAATTTGGCTATTTAAGTGAAGATGGCTTCAAATTTTGGGAATATGGTAGAGTCCGATTACAATAAGAAGAATACAGCTACGTCATCACTTGACGGAATAATTTTAGTGGCATCTTTATGTAATAGTCAACTCACTTATTCCAAGACACTCATGTATAGTTCAAATAGGCAAATTATCTTCAGAGTAAATTTTGCTACTAAGGGCTCGCGCTTGCACAGAGGCGTATTCAGTATTTATTTACGGTAAATATGTTTTTAAAAATTAATGAACATCTACATTCCAATAAGGAAAGTTATTATGTTAGCATAATATTGGAGGTACACGACAACACGCTAAAAGAACTATTTTTTTATAGACTTAAACTCATAAATAAATGAAAGATAAACAAGTATTTTTCCCTCTTTAATTTTACCTAGACATATACATAAATATTGTATTAAAAATATTGTCTAAAATTATTGTATTGCTCTTTATTCTTGTATTGGTCTTGTAAGATCAATAACGAACTGCTTATCATCCTTTCTGCCTCTTAATCCATAAATGAAGGTTAAAGGAGAAGGTACGCTGGTATAGTTATCGACGCGAGTTTGCGTTTCTTGTTCTTTTAGAATAATTGTTTGCGTTCTTATCGGATTGGAGCTGTGAGATTTTATAGTTTGCGTTCCAGTCGTTTTGCATTTTGTAAGATGAGCCTAAAAACAATATACATAATTTTGAGAGTGAAGGGGCGAGACAGACGCCCTCCGCGCCCTAGTGAGGCGCCAAGTAAAATATGAGGGGAAAAAGGCGTTGTAATTAATTTAGGATATAATTCAAGCGACTACAAAGAGTTGGTATGTTCTTCTGAACGAAGATTGAATTAAAAATGTAGTGTAATAATCACGTATTAACAATAACACTTTGTGTGATCGTGGTCTTATACACATAGTGTGACCAATCAAATACTTGATGGATGTGTGGGTCCGGTAGGATTTTAAATGGACGCGGCCTTCTCTTCATACTGATGGCGTCTAGGAAGTTTAGTGTTTAAAATTAATTCCTTGAAAGTTTGGCATAACTCACGTCATCATCTTGGGCTTACCAATTGCAAGACATTTCGTTTAATATCCCAGATATTCCATGAAATAGATTTTTCTTTATATGGTGGTATTACATAATCATCTTCCGATTGAACACCTTTATCTGCATTTTTTTTCACTTTTACTTTTACTTTAACTAATCTGAAATTTTAAAAAAGGTAAATGTCGTATAATAAAACTAGATTAAATCAAAATATAAAATTCATAGTTAAGAACTACATGTTAAAACCAAAGAAAGATTAAAGCTAAAGATTTAAATCAAGGATAAAAACCAAATATTAAAACTTGATCCTAAGTGTGTTTCCTATTATAATAAATTACATATGATTCAGACAAAAAAGAAACGCGTTGCGGTCGCATGTCTCAGTCTCGCGTTCCCAAATAATACGACTACTAATTTTTTTTTATTCTTTGTACCTTTATCACAAGGTGAGATTTTTACGTATTAAAATGTATTTTGAACGTGATGGAAACAAAAAATTAAAATTCTCGATAAGAACAGAAGGTGAAAACTCCTAAAATATACTTACGTTTTTATTTCGGAAACTTCGACTAGTTGATTTTGCAGTAGTAGGAAATTAATCAACTGAGGTTTTGTTCTTGCTAAAGCTAACACCTTCTTCAAGTATCTAAAAATAAATAAACAATTAAAGGGCTTATTTTAAAAATGTGATAAGTCACACTGTTTAAAATAAAGGCATTTTTATTTCACGACAATAAAAAATAAGGTTACAAAAACTTAAGCCAAATGGAAATTATCCAACAAATAATCAACCGAAAAATCAAGTTGCATTTTAATAAAGTTGTAGTAGTTATAGAAGTTTATTTTAACCTTTAAAGACGTGTCTCCTTAATAAATTAATGATGTGGCTTATCATGTTATTCCAATAAATTCTTTAAATTCTAAACACAAAAAACTATATTAAAAAATTGTAATTTAATATTGAGAAAACGCAAATCGAAATCCGAAAAATCAGTATATCTGAAAAATAAGTGGCTAAAATAATTTGAAAAATCGGAAACAAATTTCAAAAATCCCCCTACGAAATATTAACACCATCCCTGAACCCCAAAAGTAAAAACACATACTTGTAAATTAAAAAAAAAGGCTGTCAGAGGTGGGATTCGAACCCAGACATTTTGTCTTGTATACAAATGCCCGACCTCTAGCCTAGATAGCACAGGACGTCCTGATTTGGTTCCTTGTTGGTCCGGGACTTAAATCGGACGTCCACTGGACTTCCGATTACCATCAACACTAGGACGTTCTTCGAAAGACGTCTTTTAGACGTTCGTGTGCTATGTGGGAAACCATCGCGACATTGACTGTTCTCAAATGTTCAAATATCCCTGTACAGCATCGGTGTACATACTGAGCCCATATTTTCACTGCGTGAGTTAAGTTTTCAATGTACAATAAGAATATCGTGAAAATATTTTGACTTCCTGGACGAGACAAACATCTTGCAGTTTACGACATCTCGGTGTATGCAAATTAAATTTTCGGTATATTGTAGAAGAGATTAGGATTTTAAAAAAATATAAATATTTTGATTTTGTTAGAAATTAATTTTACTTACTAACTAGGCTCAATGCAAGGGCATGCAACCCCCCTCCAGGGTAGAAATTCTTACGATTTATGGGCCTTTTAATCAAAAAAATATGCTAAAAAGAGAATGACTAAAGGCAATGCCTTCCCCCCCCCCCCCCTCAAAAAATTAATCTTTGAGCCGCCCTTGGCTCAATGGAAACATTGTGTAAATAAACATATCTATCAATTATTTTCAACTTTTGAAAATATTAAATTTATCTGAATGTTAAGTATTAAAAATACTAAATCGACTTACTCTTTGGGTTTTTTCGAAAAGTCTTTACCAGCTTCATATGAAGAAAAAACAAAATAGTCGTCTCGGAATTTAGCAATGCCAAGTCGAGGATTTCCTTGCACTAAGAAACCATTTGTATTCACTAATCTCCAGCTGCAGAAACCCAAATACTAACAAAAAATTAAATTAATCTTAACACATATGCAATTCTTTGAATTAACCATTTTGTTTGGCAAACTTAAAATTACAAAATAATATAATTAGATTTAGTTGGGACTATGAGCCACCTCGACTCTTTCAGATCTATTGTCGATATCCCAAAATTATTCCATAAAAAAATGGAAAACCAGTAGGTTAATCTGGCATGGAGATGTTGGAGATTTGTTTTTATTTGCATTTGCAGATAGTGCTTTGTCGAAATTAAAAATTTTTATTTGATTATCAAGATAAATGTGGAGCATTCACGCAAAACTTTTTAGGTTCAGGATCAGCTTTTTTAGTTTTTTTTTTGCGGAAATTGAGTTAAAATGCTGCCTCCTAAGATATTTAAGATACTTAACTCTAAAACTCACCTGCAGATTAATATGTGGTTCATTTTCAAGTTCATTCGCTTGAAACATTTCAACTGTTGGGTTTTCGGAATCTAACAATTTATTAAACGTTTCTCGAGTTGGTTCGAAAACCGTACTCACATTAATCAATTCATCAAAAAGTGTATAGTCTACTCTCATTTGTTTACAGTATGTTTTCATATTATTTAATATAGTACTATATCTTGCTAATAGTAAAACTTGCTGTTGAATTATAATAAAATAATCAGCAATTTGTTCGAATAAAGGCTAAAACAAATTTTATGAACAGCTTATAAAATGATTAGCTCGTTATCACAGTTTGCGAATTAATATGTTTTTTTTTTATTTAGTAAAATTCCGGCAATCGATGAAAAATTTGATTTTTCGATCCCCACCAATACCTAATAGGTCGAAATTTACAGATTTATGTAATTGTTTGCACTAATTCTATCTCTAGCCAATAGATACCTGCACCTCCTGGGAAATATGCATTTGACGTAGATTTGTCGAAAAATCTTGATGGATACCCCGTGCTTAAAACTTAAAATTGTAATATTTATTAATGTAAAAACATTTATCAAACAATAAGGTGCATACGTCTATTTAATATATTATTTTTTGTTATATACTAATATCAAATTTATTGTCAGTGACCATGCAGTAACCAACAAAACTAGAAAATGTTTATATAAACACAGGGTCGAATGCTCCCGTGTTCAGTTTTCGTCTACCATGCGCATGACGTCACTAACAGAGTGATAGAATGATTTTTATTTGCACGTCAAAATAAGGACCGCCCACAATGCGCAACATCCCAACTTAAGTGCGTATATCGTGATATAAACACTCACCAACTAGTCAACTAACTGTGTTTGACATTGACAGATCATTAAATATTAATTTTAAATAATGTTTTTATAGCAAGTGGTACGAAAATTATGGTATGTACCTCATCGACTTGTAAGTGTATTTAAAGTTTTACTAATAGGTATATACAGTCGCTCATAAAAAACTAGTACAGTTTAATTAATCATGTACTATAGGATTTATTATTAAGTAGCGCTATTCCTCACCCAATTTTTAAAATCAGAATATAAAAAAAATCTTGAATTAAAAATTTTAATGTTAAAATTTGAAATACTTATGTGTACCTACACGATAATTAAATAAATAATTGTTTGTCATGTCTAGTAATACTTACAAATATTATGTAAACTGGAACTGCCAAACGTGCACGAACTATTACAATAATTTTTTCCATTAAAGCTGAAATTTCATGGTCAGTTTGTTCAACTTCAGCGTCTACTACTTCAAGGCATTTCAATATTTTCCTATAAGGGTTTAAACCTTGTTTAGAATGATCATTTATATTGTTATATAGTTTTAAATATTAATCACTTGTTTTCAAATTTAATTGTTGAAATATGAAAATGAATAATCTCCAATTCCCCCTACGAAATTATGAAAAAAAAAAATGAGTGTATCGACCTGGGATAGAACCTGGAACCATGTCGGAAGCCATGTGCTTTGATAGTTCAAGGGTTGGATTAGGGAAAGTATTATTATTATTATTATAAATTGAATACTTACCTTATAAATAGCTCATATTGTCTGTAATGGATTAATTCATCTTTGGCATTTTCCAACAACTCTCTACCTCCTTTAGGAATGGAAATATATTCAAAATAATAACCATCAACGGATTCTCTTAAACCATAACATTTTTCAAGGAGCGATGTTCGAAATGTTACGTGATCTAAAGCATCCGTCAGACTTGTAGATATTTCATCTTTAATTACCTTTGAAGCATTTCTATATAAGTCGGCCACTGTAAAAAAGGAGTACGGATTGAATAACAACAGTGTGAAAGAATACAATAACTATTGTATTAATGGCGTTGACTGGAATCAAATAAACCTAATAAAAAAAATTATATTCTTCAGAAGTTGATTCTATGACTATGGTAATTTATGCAACAAGAGTTGAAATGATGCACATATAGCACGCCTCAGTTGGAGTACCTTTGTCCGGGGCTATTTGGTCACCCTAGAGCAACTTGATCACTTAATAAGTAGTTTTTTGGTGCAATTTCCAGTCCTTTCGTTTGTTTCAAGTAACTGCTGACTGAAAATGGTGCGGAACTACCAAAGAACCCCCGGATCAAAGTTCTTCTAAAGCTATAAGTGCTCTAGGAAAGGCCACCAAAGTAAGCTTAGCATACAATTGAATAAATATTATTTAAAACAAGTTACTGGAAATATTGAAAAATATACTTACAATCAGGAATTTCCGCCCCTCCTCTTTGGCAATATTTGTTAAATAATCGAATTCCTGTAATTAATTTAGTCATTTCGTTTAGATGCTCTTCTTTTGCGGCTCTAGTTCCATATGAAAATTCCTTTAGTTCTTCTTCGCTTATAATACTTTTTAATGCTGCTACACCTTCACTGTAAACCTTTAAAAAATATATTATAATCTGAAATAATAGTAATAATGTGTGGGTGACATTATATGAATTGATGTAATGCACTGACTGTTTTATTATATGTATATATCTATTTTAAATAGGTATTTGTCCATTTTTGTAGTTGCAGTAGTTTTCTTATTAGTGTTTAAGTAACTTACTTCAGGATGTGTAGGATTTCCCAAACCAGATTTAAAAACCATATACATTACGAGGACTCGTCTCAGTTTTTCCACATCAAGAGAATCGTCAACAATGGTTGAAATCATGATTTGTTCTTTTAAAGGTGTCAGACGGTTTATTAATGTTTTAATGGTATTTGTAATGATATTATTTATGTGATCCAAACTCCACATAAAATAAAATTGCATCTTTAATGTCATCATTTTCACCGAATCCTTTGATTCTAATTCAGAAATAACATGTTTAACCAATGTTTGTACGTTTGCTCTACTGTTCAATAAATTTTCTGTGATACCCCAATTTGGATCTAATAGAAGTAATTTCAACTGAAAGTGAAAGGCATTAATAATTATTATTTAAGTATTTATAATATATTTTTCGCTTGCTGAAATTGTTTCTGGAATCTAGTTATAGTAGTGACCAGACATTACAAAATAGATACAAATACAAAGAACAAGAAGTTATTTACGAAGAAAGAGCGGAAAACGATTATTGAGACGTTGATTCTGACCTGATTTTTGAAAAACACTAAGTGTCTTTAGACACTGTTTGATTCCAAAGTGATACTATTTTAGTAATTTTAAAAATTACTTGAACCGACTAGCTCGAGGCAGGCACGATTCTAGAAACCATCGATACTCGCATAAAAACACAATTTATTTGGGTTGAATATCATCTTTTAGTCTGGGCAAATATGGATTAAGTCGGCTAAAATTGGTGAAAATATAAGCAGCATTGATTTAATTTTTTTTTTATTATTAGTAATCGAAAACAATTATAATTGTAGAAATGTAAAATAAATACATAACACTTATCGGCTCGTACTATGTTTACATAATATCGCCAGTAGTAACATAAGTGGATTCGGATGTATTGTTAGTTTGTGAATTTTATTATGTTGCACCAAGCGCCCATTTTCAACCATTTTTTTACCAACCTCTAACGGAAGAATCTAATCAGTTTATTTTATTGGGGGTTATAATAGTTAAAAGTATAGTTATACTTGTTGAGGTATGTTGTTCATTCACATTTTTATTTTATAACAGAAATAAATTTAATAAGTCCGACTGTGATAGCGCATTTGTTTATGATTAATAAATATTCGGGTGTTTTTATGGAAGCTCTTGTATATATCGGTGGTTACTACTATACTTTCCTCATAATTAATATCCTTAAATCGTCAATTACTCAAAATGGCATTGCCAAAACCCAAACAAATAAATTCATCATTTTACATAAAAAGATAATATTAAAACTTATTCATAATATACTTATATATAATTAAATAGAACTAAGCACTTACATAATACGTTACAAAATCTTCATTTGGATGTAAATTTTTTGGTTGACATTCCCGCAAAATTTCTTTAACTATATTTCTTTCGATACGACTAACCATTTTACTCTTGGAATTTCAAATAAAATTCCTTAGTTTGATCGATAATACTGTATAAACGCAGAATCAATTAAAATGTTGACAATATTTTTTTAAAATTGACATAACAAGCATTACTGAAAAGATAATTGGCACTTTGAAAAATCTGTTAACGGTGGTGATTATAACAGGACCAATTACCTTTAAGCAGTATTTTTTTGTAAAAGCCTATTATAGTTGCCCTTTTTTGTGGATAAGCGATCATTTTTCCAACAGTTGTAGAAATTAAAAATTATTTTTTATGTTTATAGAACCAAATTTTCGTGTTTTTATTTCAGTAGGTCTGCGGGGAAAAGTAAGAAGAGCAGGTTTTAAAGTGAATATTTCGGTAAGCAGGTAGGACGATCGGTGCGCTTATTTTGTAGACTGTAAATATTCCTTTCAATAAAAATGTATTCTATTTCAATATTCATTTATTCTCATATTCAAACGTATAAAACGTCTGTAATATAATAATGGTTGTAAATAAAATATCTACAAGAATGGCTATTCTTATTTTATTTTATAATTTTGTATTACAATTTATTATCCATAAAAATTATATTTAGATTTACTATTTAATATCATTAAACTTAAAGAACAAAATGATATAAGAAGATCACGAAAATAATTTATATTCAGGAGAAGGGACTTGCTGTTGGGTAGATAAATTTTGAATTAAAATATCTTGAAACTGATTTCTAATCCTTAACTTCTGTATCGGATCTAATTGTTTGAAATAAGGTAATAATGATTTAAAAAATAGCAAATCTTCATCCTCAGTTTCTAATTGAAAACTACTGTGTCCCATTTTTAATAATTCTGTGTCTAGTGAAGAATCAGAATCCACTTCTCGTCCTTGTTTTTTGTAAAGAGGTGTTTCTGTTTTTATATACTGCTCGTGTTCATCTTTAATATTTCCCAAAGCAGCAGATTGCTTTTCTTGCCTGTAAGTAGAATCATCAATGTCTGATGTTTCTAAAGACCGGCCGTGTAGTCCTGCTATTTCCTCCAGAAAAGATAATTTTTCAAAGTACTGCCATTTTCCCCTATAATTGTCAATTCTTTGTTGTGGGTCTCCTGATTCTGGAACTGGTATTCTTTTCAACTCTTTCAAAAACTGATCTCGAAGACCCCTCCATTTGGTCTTTGCTGTTATTTCTAAAAAACGATTTACTTTTATTAGTAATAGGAATTTAGTTACTAGGCTAACCAGGGAATATTTTAAAATTAACGAATTAAATAAAACGGTATTTCGTAATGTGTTACATACAAGATTTTGTACAACTCTGTGCAACCGATATATTTTTTTAAAGACTTATGCAAGCTTTTTGAAAGGAATACTGCTGGTCATGTACTACTTATTGCTGGCAAAGTAACGACGGCCTTCTGCCGCCCGTTGTACCAAAAAAACCGATTTACCAATGCCTGATTACCAACTAAAAGCCAATACTTGAAGTAACGTACATACTTTTAAAGGGCGTTAACTAGCTATAATAAAATGTTTGTTTATAATAATTTTAAACAACCTAAAAAGTTGGTATTGTAGTTTGGCAGTCACAATTAAATATCTACTTTAGAGAGTCAAACCTTAACTTTTTCAATATTTTTAAATTATCAGCAAAATAACAACGTTTAAGCCTTACATTATTTTTACTTGGCAACACTGAACCAATACGTAAAAATATTTCTTTAAAAATGTGCAATTTTTCAAATTTTTCATTTGAACGTGAATAATCCATTTTTTTTTTCATGATATATGTAACTACACTACGTTCTAATAGCACAAAATATTCGTCTGTCCGTAAAATCGAACATAACTGAAAGTTGTCCACATTAGCCCCGGTCTCCCCTACATATACGTGTACTTACTGGTTAAACCGGTAACATCCGCTACGGCAGTCCATTCCAAATCCATTGTGACTTTATTCCGATGTCCCTTAGTCCACAAAACTCTCCGTTTTTGAACTTCAGATATTAAAACTTCAATCATTTTGACCGATATATCTTCCATTATTTTTATTGATAACACGTTAACTCTGTTGTCGTGTTTTTAGTGTTGTGAAGGATTATATGCATGCGATTTGCGATTGTTGCAAACGTCAGATGCGTGCGTACGACTTGGATCGTACGTTTTCGTTTTGTATCGTACAGCTGCCGCTGTTTATCGGTTGTATGTGGTGACGCCCGCATTTTCCCGCATCGCAATTTGCCATACACGCAACCGTTATTAAATCATGAAAAATTATATTGTTTAGTTATAGGTATATTAATATTGAAATCAGTATCTAAATCTTGATCGAATATTTAAATAGTGTAATATTTATATTAATAACAATAAGTATTATTGTCAGAAATAATCATGCCATTCATAAGACAATATATTTTATGATAAAAGGAGGTAGGTAGGTACCTATCTGAATGAATTATATAAAATACAAACGAAGTAATGAATGTTATTTTAACAAAATCAAAACAATAATTATTGATAAAGTAATTCATAAAAAATAGGTACTGAAACTGGCAAGATTGTTATACAGGGTGTCCCAAAGCGAGTTATTTTGCGAGCGGCCATATTGCTTCGCAAATTCTCATTAAATCTTTGTTCGCGGTACTGATTCTGAACGCTAAGGTAAAAATTAACTGCATAATATAACTGGATTTGTATCGTTTAAGGGTGAGATTACAGAACGTCTGCAACTTTGCAGATCTGCAAATATGGCGGCAACTTTGAAAATCTGCAAATATGACTGACTTACACATGCAAGTATCAAGTTTTCGTATTCCAAATTTGGGTTTAGTGTTATTGGGGGTAATAAACCACAATAAATATTGTGAATTTGCAGATATTTTTTGGAATACTTGCATTTGTAAGTCCGCCATATTTGCAGATCTGCAAAAGTTGCAGACGTTCTGTAATCTCACCCTAAATGTTTATGCAGGTGTGTTCTACCTTAACATTCAAAGTACGTTCGGGATCGGCTTCGCAAACGAAGCTATTCAGAATCGGTTTAGCAAAAATACGTCTATTCCGATTCTTCAGAAGTATGTTGAAAACTGTCCGAGTACTAGATGACCAATGGAAAGTTAAAAAGTTTTACGCGACGCATAATTTGATATGCAACTGTTCAACTGGATCTCGGGACGGTTTCCAGTATATTTCGAAGAAACCACAACAAGCCTAATGTCTTCTAAAACCAATTTTCACCCTTTTAATGTATAAACAAAAATGATTTCCTACATTTTTATTTCAACATAAGCCGACATGGGTGAAAAAAACGGTCGATGCGCATGGCAATTTGGACGTCAGACTGCCAATTTCGAGTATTCTACGTCACGTTTCCTACGGGTGTACTACGATAAATTATATAATTTTTATTAAAAACGCGCTATTTTGATAATAATTATTATTATTATTGGAACATTTGTTTCAGCTGCATATTAATCAAAAATCATTTTTAAGTGATTTTCTTAAATTAAAAGGTGTCAGTTAAATGTAATAAGGGTTAAATTTAATTTTGATGATCCTTTTTAGTGCATTTCGATACGCTCATGTGGGCGCCAAAGTGTCAAAAATCACCTCTCGCTATGCGGCTTGATTTTGTTGATTGACTTTGTTATTCCAGTGCAAACGACCCGCTTTGAGCAATCTATATAACTATATATAGCATTGATCCTGTCAATGACAGGTTCACAGGGTTGCCATATCTAAATGTCAGTTCCCAGTTTGACAGGTCGTTGGAATGCCTAATGATTTCTGTAAACCATTTACTCGTATTTCGCTACTGTCCACAAGATGGAGTCACCTATTCTTTCAATTGCAAAATGATGCTGGAAGTTGTATCCAGATGCCAGAACTAACTATACAACTACAACACAAAAAATAAGCAATAAGGATAGGGAGCACTAAAAACAAAATAAAAACAGTATCGAGTGTAGTTGAAGTGTTGAAGACGGGCTACGAATTGAAAAATAGTTGTATTAGTGCAGACGATTTAAAATATTTTATTTTTCGATAATTATGTGATTAGTTATTATGAACTGTTTATTTTGTGACAATGAGGACGAAGTTAGTGATTTTTTTGTTGTTTGTGTCGAGTGTATATAATGAGGATATATCACTAAATTCTTTATTAGGTAAGTATTAACATCCAATTCGTTGTAAAATAATGATAAAAATCAATTTGAGTGTTCCAGTTTAATGCATATTTGATTCTTAGGTTTATTATTAATTGTTGTTTCAATTTAAAAGACAAAGCCCATTTAAATTCAATTTCTTTTTCTAAATATTGTGTTACCCTAGTTTGCAACAGATACTTTATCTGTAAACTGATTTATATTTACAGATAAGAAGTTAATTTATTATTAGCTTTTGAGAAAATAATAGAAAATGTTATAGGTACCTTATTTACCCTAATTATTTGGAATTCACGAAGTTTTAAGTACATAGGTACCTACCAAAAAAAGAAACGTTTCTTTATGCTTTGGTTTTACAAACGGAAAAGCTAGTGTAGGTTTGTCAATTGCTATTTTTGTTGTACCCTAATTAAACTTTTATAAAATTTAAATTATTTAAGACTACATATGTACTAAGGTACATCATTATTTCTTAGAATTTTTACGTGTTATGATTCACTTTTAAGTCACGAATTTTGCGAAATTAATTACGACCTTGATATTCCGATTCTTTAAAATTATTGTTAGATATGCATAAGAGTTTGTTAAACATTCTTAATTATTTACACACTGACCTACATAGATATGGGTTATTTATAATGTAAGTATTTAGATAAAGGTATAGGTATATACTTACCTAGATAATATCTTTATAAGCATTAATAAGGATACTTAGATGGCACCAAAATATACTGAAAAAAAAAAAACTATGAAGCAAATTTTCATCAAATAGATAGGTAAGTATTAATTTTGGTTTTTAAAAGAAAAATATATCAAAAATCTACCTACCTACTTAGAAACATTGACTATTTTTATTAAAATTATCAATTTATTTAATAACAAACTTTCCTGACCCTCACATAATTCCGCAAAATATTTTTCATAGTGGTGGTCATTCCATCAAATATTCCAATTATATTCTAATGTATTTAATCTTTATCAACAGAAGCTATTAGTAGAATAAACCTCCTTCTCTCTAAATTTCTGAAATCACGACATCATTTCCAAATCAAATTGTTGCTCATAACTATAAAGGCAGGAGCTTGTAGATCAAAACACAAGGAAAGATATAAAAAAAGTCCACCAAACAAGAAGTGACAAGGTTTAAAGAAAGCTGTTGTAATGATTTATATTTTTGAATCATTCCTACTAAAAATTATATCTAAATATTGGTTTCTATTGTTTTGATAAAGTAATGTTTATCCTGGAAACCAGTCATTTTAAAGACCTAAAAAATATATTTAAAGGTCTTACTATTTGATGATATATTATTTTTTTGTGAGCTGAATCATTGGTATAGAAATTGTATTTTGAATATCCTGTCAAATGTTTGTTTTTGCTAATTTGATAGAGTAATATTTATCCACAGAAACGCTTGACTTTAAATACCTTAAAACTATATTTAGAGGTCTTGCTATTTGATGATTTTTTATTCATTTATTTATTTGAAGTAGTATACTGAATTGTTATAAAAATTGTATTTGTAATCTCCTGCTAAATGTGGATCATTCATGAATCATAATTTTTTGTTTGATTAATTAAAAAACCTAGGGAATGTTTGGTATAAAAATTATCTTTAGAATCCCATTGTAAATGTTTGTTTTACCGCCTTCTTTCTGCAAGATTATCTTGTTTTAAATAATACTTAATAATTAATCCATTTTTTTAATAAATACACTCATTTTTATTTATTTGTAAACTCATCATAATAAAGGCCATCTAAACTAAATATTTTGCCGCATAATATCGAAACTTTAAGGTACCGCCTGCTAGTGTGCCTGCTAGAATTTTTTTCTGATTCTTAAGCATATAAAATAAGGAACAAAATTCAAAAAGAAAACATTAAAATTCTTACAAATTCGTAAATTTTAAACATTAAGGGGAAACGGACCTCTCGTGAATTTCTAATATAAAATCGTATTTATATGCGTGCCATTGGGAATACGTAGTGATATTATGTGACTCGACAATATTGAGAGCTTTAAATTTGTGCAACGATAAGGTAGCACTCTACAGACCTTTTTAAAAACTACTACCTAGATATTTATTAAAACAAAAAGCAGTAAATTTAATACAGAATGGCGCGTAAATATTTTTTTTTAATTCTTTTTAAAATTTTTCAAAATAAATACTTTGCGAAGGTTTACAAAAAATTCAAGGTTTCTCCATCCTAAGGTTTGTTATTATTGGTATTTCCTGAAAATTTCACAAAAATCGGACTAAAAATAAAGGCTCAGAATGAATTATAAATTTTCAAGGTGTCTGGTTTGCTCTTAATAAAAAATATTAAAAAATCAATTTTAGTTTTACATTTAGGTTATCATTTTTTCTTATAATGCAAGGAGTGAGTAACATTTTATAATTCTTCTAAAATTACACCCTATAAAATATTAAGGACAAAAAAAACAACTTTTATTTCATTTATTCCAAAATATATTATTAATAATACCGTAATTCAAAGTAGCTCTAGTCAAAATTTATTACCTACCTCTTCGAAATAGAAAATTCCATCGTCTGAATGTACGAAATAATGTTTATTTAAAATCGGCTTCTAATAATTAATTAATGAGTAATAAAATATAGTAAACAAGTGCGTGTCGTTATTTTATATTGTTTTATTATTAAAAGCAGAATGCATATTATGGAGAAAAGTTGTGCAGCAGACCGTTTATATTGTCGACAGACTGAAATAACTAACAATGCAACATATAAAAAGGAAACACCATACAAATCTATTTAGGCATCCGGTTTTAAAGACGTCAACCTCTCTCAATGACATTCATCTTTCTCTGTTGCTGATCAGTGCTGGAGATTACAGAATTATATAATGGTTCAATATAAATTAAACAGTAAATGTTTTTCTTTTGTCATCATCAATATTAAACTAAAAATTCACTGGAACATATAAAATTACGTTAATTTTTGAGTCTAAAACTATAGTTTATTGTT